CCCTTTTTGTATTACATGATGAATATAGAGCTTGGTATGAAAGTATAAAATAATTATATTAATGCCATTGATTTTTAATAAACAGGGCAGTATCTTCATCTTTGACATTCCTAAGAATGATTTTTTTGAGCATTGGCCAAATTAGCTATAATACATGGTTATTAAAATCAAATACCAATTTCTTTAATTGCTGCAAATTGTGGTGTTGTACATATAACTACTGTGAATTACTCATTGTCCCAGCCCTATCTTGCTTCTGTGAACAATGGGAAGCCAGTTAACAGAGATAAAATTCTGTTTAATGGGAGCCTAATTTAAGAATTTAAGAAAGTTTAACTATTCCTTGGATCCATACAAGGTATGCCTGTCAAAATGAAGCAGCACATTCAGCAGCTTTTCTTTCAAAGTGATTCTGTGACAGGCAGATAACTTTTTTTGCTATTTTGGAAGGTGTCCTTTTCATTCCAGTACCATCCTTATAAGTAGGCAATAAGAACATACCTCAGTCTGTGAGGCTTTCTGGACTGGTATCCTGAATGCCTCCAAGTAAACTCCTTGGGGAAGTCAAGGTGACCTTTCAAGGTTGTGCACTTGGGTACAAGGCATAATCCTTAAACAGGCCAAATTAAGATTATTTATGTAAAAACACAGCTGTCTTGATAAAGGAAGCCATACAGTTTTGTCAGACTAAAATATTTAGCAACATGCTTGAGATCTCTCATCCTGTTGCTTCAACCCCATCACCCTAGGAAAGAAAAAAAAAAACCAAATACAAAAGAAAAGAGATCAACACCAGCAAAGTAAATATGCCTTTTGCATAGTAATACTGTTAATAGAGTTGCCCAGCTACAAAGGGTTTACATAGCAAACCCTTCCATTCTTGTGTTGGAAACAGGTAAAAATACTCTCCTTGCTGTCTTTGCAAAAGTTAAAAGGCTTTTGCACATGGGAAAGAATTTGTTAGTTCTTTTTTTTGTTTGTTTTCTCTAACTAGTTTAACCACTTCTTGTCTGTGAGAACATGCAAGGCTTTTGAAGACTGATTCTCCCCAGAACTTTTCTCAAATAAATAAACCACTAAACCACCTGTTAAAATGTTTTCCTCTTCAAGATAGCATATCTGTAGGTGTTATCCAGGCTAAGGTTTGCTAAATGCAGACCCAAAATAAGTATTTTTTGTTCCTACAGAAAGTCTATATATGCATATGAACTCCACTGACATTCCAAACAGACAGAATGTTTATAACTGGTATTAAATGCTGCCATATAGAAATTCCCAGTATCTAGAGGAGTGTTTTTGTATTTGTCGTAGCTTTTTTTCTCTTGCACTACACTATGGCCAATAATGAAATACCAGAATTATTATTGAATAGATATTTTTTTATTTTAGATACCAAAATGTTTCTGAACAATTCTCCTTGGTTATGCTATTTCAATCACTTGAAACCAGATTAATTCATGATGTACCCATATATACTCCACAAGTTCACGTTTAAACTACCAACTAAAAGGCTAGCTAAAATCAGAAGCTGCAGTAACTTTTTGGTAACCCAGCAGCTACACATCTGGAATACTCTGATAGCACTTACCTATATTTTGGTAACAAATACTAATTACATCTATTAAAAATATTTTTGAATCTCTGTGGTATGACATGACATAGAAATGCAGATTATCAGTTTTACATAAAGCATTTGATACTTAAATATGTATATATTTATGCTGGTTTCATTGACAATATTTAAAAGCAAACATGGTTCAAAATCAACCTCGGTAGGGTTCTAAAAAGCACTTCCCTTCAATTTCTTGATGCCATAATAAACTTCATATGAGCTATATTCCAGTTACAGTATTGTGGCAGAAATCTCCCCAGAAGAGGACATTCCAACATGATGACATATCTATGCATAGTAATGGCAAATCAAATTTAAGACCATAGGAGCAACATTAATCACATGTATGAAGAATATGAAAATTACGCGAAAACTACAATAGTCAATATCCCCACAAAAAAAAAAAAAAAAAAAAAAAAGTAGAAATTTAATATTAAATCTGAGAGAAATTATTACTGTAATAGATATGCAAACAAACCAAAAATTATCCAGGAGAACAATTCAGCCTGACATAGCTGCAGCAAAATAGCTAACATTTGTCAAGGTGTTTCTGAAGAACTCAATCTTCAGATATCCTGTATCTCAAACTGAATAAATTGACTGACCCAGAACATCATCTGCCTTCAATACTATTTTCTCAGTTAATGAATTCTGGAATATATACGTAATAGGATTTGCAGTTAATGAATACAATGAATGCAATAGGAGTTAATGAATATAATTTTAGTAGATAACCACATGAAAATAAAGCTTCCTGTCTAGAGCAACAAGCCTCTAAGATTACTTGTCATCCCATGAAACAAGGTAAAGCCCAAATAGTGTAAGCTATTTTGGATAGAGATATGTCTATTACATGCCTATAAGTGACAATTACATGTATGTTGAACATAATATTTTCCAGTATCATGGAAAATTGAAGTGGGTAAGGAAATAATTCCTCATCTCATTTCAGGAGACAGAAGAGGATTCTAGAAATCTGCAGTGGAACAATAGCACTATTGCTGTTATTATCTGTGACTGATAATATAGTGATGTTACAATCAAATAGTGCGGCTACTTGTTTCTGACAGTAAGACACATTCTAAAGCCATTTTCAGGTATACTTTTCAATTTCTGGTATATGAGCACAAAGTTCTTATTTGTGCCATTAAGAGGCAAGGAAATGAATCTCAACTTTCAAAACCAAAGTAATCTGTGTTTTGAAATGGGCAACCCCCTCAGAGAAAGCAGCAAGCAAAAGCCAAAGGCACTTCAGTGTAAGTACAGGTCTACAGGTACTAATTAATGAAGATACTATTGGAATTTTTAAACTACCAGCGCCTTTCAGATATAAAAAAACTAATATGGAATGATGTTTGCATATGTAAATGTTTAAGCATTATGCTCAAGGAAAAAGAGATCATTAGTGATTCATGACCACCAAGAGTACTGAGATCCGCACACAAACTCTGAGGCACTCTGATCTTAATACCAAAATTACACAAATACATTTTAAGCAAATCACTAGTATGCACAGTTACATTTTAGGCAAAGCCAGTCTTTAAGCATGAAAATATGGCAGATTAACAGGATTCTCAACTCATTTTGAAGTATCAGCCAAGTTATGTATTAAATTAAACCTAAATTTCAAAAGAACTGGGAAAAACTGCAAAGCAATTATGTACTGAAATAAATTGACATCTGCATAGTTCTGGTTGTCAGAAAATAGTAAAGGTATTACACAGGTCTTAAAAGAATGCTGCAATTACAGAGATGAGATAAAGAAGCCAGAAGCAAAAAGACTGAACACCCAGAGCATTGCAAACAAGATTATGTCTGATATAGAAGCCTGTAGTCAGAATACAAGGAGTGATAAAATGCCCCAAACTATAACTGAGATGTCCAAGTAGATGAACAACTGTTATATGTATGCAGACATCTAGCTACAAGGAGGGTGAATATTTCCTACAATTGTTTTTACAAACCTGTCAGAAAACTAGGGATGGACTTCCCAAACAATTTCACTTCAGAGCACTGCCACTAGCCAAAGTATAAAATACTGCTACAGTTCACATTAAAGCGAAAACAATTAAATATTTCAATAACCACAAACATTATCTAATTTCAGCTGACAGAATCTGAGACAAGAGAGACCATTTTCTATTTGCTATCTTGCCACAGAGCAAGTCGCTATTGAACACAAATAAATTGGTTATTCAGATGCGAGGCAATTTCATCTGGCTTTGACTCAATTTTTCTTAATCAAAATGGAGTCAGAATTGATCCATTCCTGTAAAGAGATGCAATCATAACTAAATAGTGTTTATTATGAAACATTACCTAGTCAAAGTATTTTCAAATGGTTCTGAAAAATTACTGGTTTGTATACATTTTGCCTCATAAGTACACCTTATTCTACTGGCAGTGGTAATAACAGAGAAAAGAAGACAGGCAAAGATCAGAGCCTATTTTGGTAGGCAAGCTAATGACTGACCAGACATTGATTATGTCAAGCCAGACACAACCAGACATTTCCTGGGCATAAACCAAACACCTGTCATTAGGCTTTATATCTTCTAGTGATAAGTACTGAATTTGAGCTAGTTCCCAAAAAGAGGAGCTTGCCTTTTCCCACGTATTTTGATGGCATTGACTGATTTGGGCCCGTACAGTATCCTACAACGATATCTGATGTAATGGTGCCCATCACAATTGTACTGTAGCTACGCAGGTGGGGATGCATGGTGTGACATGACCCTGGAACGTGAGGCCTATGTCTTGGATATTGAATAAGGATAACCATGAAACAAAGGGAAGGAGAGATGACCATTCAGATGGACTTGGCAATACTGAATTACTTAGCCACTGAGCTATGACTGGTAATCAGCAGCACAGTGGGAGTGGATATGTGGTGTTGGCCAAGACCGTGATGCCTGATCAGAACAATCATGATTCAGTGAAACGGAGCCCATTGCTAAAACCCTCCAAAATCTCCAGCCAGTCCCTGAGTCTCAGAAGGGAGTGCAGTTATGGGATGCATCTCCAAAAAATGATCAGATGGTGTCCATCTGGCCTTGCAAAGAACATCAGAGACTTCCGCTCCAGAGGGGCGGGTTACTCTTTCATGTTCCTTGTGCTACCTCTAACTCCTCCTGGTACTCACTAATGTGTTACAACACACTGCTTCACAATGCTGGCACACACAGGATTTCCCTTCAGATGGTGGCAGAGCTGAAACAAGCAGATTTGTTTATTCTCTCAAAGACAATTGTGGCAGAAATTTTCCCAAAAGAGGACATTCTAACATGATGACATATCAGACACAGACTTGGAAACAGGCAATACTCTGTGTGGGAGTCTCTCTATAGAGAGGAGTAGCATCAAGCAGTAATTGTTTAAATTAATTTACCTGCTTTGGCTTCAAGATAATAAATGCTCAATGGAAACAATCATGAGATGCAAAATACCCTAAGAAAAAGGGGAAAAGGGTATATCAGCAGCAAGCATGCAAGGAAGTAGGCTTAATGACTACTAAATACAGGGAGACTTACAGTTTAAAACCTGTCATATTAATGGGGTTGCAAACTGTAGGGAATCATGAAAGGCTAGGGGACTCCTAAGACATGGAAATTTTCCATTTTGAAGACTGTGCTATAGAGAAGTTATTTAGAAGATATTTAGAAATCCTGGCCATTCACTCCTTCACACACCCTTCAAGGTCAAGTATTCCCTATGAGCCCCTCAAAATACAAACACAAGCTTGAGAACTGTGTTTTGATTGAAACAGCTGCTTTAGAACGATGAGTTAAAAACGTAAAGAGTCAGAAAGCTCTCTGCAATTTGAAAAGGAGGGGATGGGCCTCTAAAGGTGGAGAAAATATGGATTAAGTATCCCATGACAGTGATAAAACATGGATTCGCCTTTCTTTTACAAGGGCTTTGTGGTCCTTACAACTAAGATATGGATATAATATAGATAAACAAAAGATTATGTTATGCAAGACAGCAAGCTAAAGGAGATAAACAACTATTTTTTCCTTCAGACTCTTTCTCACCTGACAGATGTAGCATTTATGAAGTCAGTGCTTATGAAAGGAAAGTGGTAGGAAAGAGTGATACTAGAGCCACAAAGCCATCTCAAACAAGTAATTCACTCATTAAATACAACTTTATAAAAGGTTTTAACAAAATTTACTGCCTCAATATATTAAAGGAACGCAGCACTCCTAGTAATTTGCAGTAGAGTGGTTGGACAGTTTTTACTGCACCCTCTCATACTGAACTGCTTAAATTTGAAATGTCCAGTAAGATTAATGAGTTAGTTAGAAAAGTGAGAAAGGCTAAGGGAGATGCTGAAAAGAACATGATGCAAAAACCTAGCATTATATTACAAAAAATGTGTACCTTTTTAAAAACAAGTCACATATTTGCATATTTTTATTCTTATTTTGCTTGCTCTCATAATTTATTATTCAGTATAAAGCTAGAAATATAGCACCTTACAAAGACAGCATTATAATCATTAAAAGACATGGAAAAGACCTCCAAGATCATCAAGTCCAAAAAGTAATCAAAGGTCTCCTGCATTATCCCAGAAGAAAGCTCAAATACAGCAGCAGCTGTAGTAATTTTTGACATAACTAACAGTGAGTGTCTTCTTCAAAAGTATATACACATCTTCAAAAGTGTATATTATTCTGGGGTTATTTTTCAGAGGTGTGACGTAGAATTGGTACCTCTGTGTCAGTTGCCCATGGAAGAAAGGATGTGTCAATAGTGGCAACAATTTAATACAATACTGACAGTGTTCCTGCAGAGACTCTGATACAGTACTTGAAAGAGAATAACATTTATTATCAATCCCTACAGAGTTTTCTAGACTGTGTGTCAAAGCATATGCCAGAGATTTACAAGAAAAAATTATTCTGAGCATAATATGCCCTAAGGATATATCATTTAAGTTGAAAGAATTATCAATTCTTAGGCCAAAGAGGAAAATATTTTAGCCACTCTTTCAATGAATGATGTTATGTGTTGTCTCTTTTTTGGCTACAAACTGAACTATCAAATAAATATCTCAAAAAGCACCCTAAAAAATTATCCAGGCTAGTCTAGTAGCTATCGGTTTTTTGGAAAAATAGATACAGAAATAAAGCATACATTAAAACAGTATTGACTGATTTGGGCCCTTACCTCTGGATGACTGTGAAAATCAATTATTGTATGCAAAGAACCTACTGATATTTTTATTTCTTCTGCAATCATATATAATATTAAAAATTACTTTAATTATTATGTAAAGTATTTCCACAACTTCACCTTATCTGCCGATCAGAAGAGCAAGTTGACACAGAGAGGCAAGATCTTCACAAATATAGGTTTCTATATTTTCTTTCCAGTTCTAAGAAAAACAAGCAGATCCTAGCATAAAGGAAAAAGCAAATTCCAAATGAGAAATTTTCACATCAGCATAATTATGTATCATAAAAATATATGTTTTCTTCTTTCTAGAATATAAGAAGGAAAGCATTCACACATCAAAAATGCAAACAGTTGTTGAAAAAATCTCTAGCTAATTGAGACACTGAGATGTGGTCTGATCTAGCATATTGCCCCTAGTCACCTGTAAATGATAATCCCCTTCAGGCCCTTGTTAGCCTATAAAACTTTTCAATCAACTTCCCTGAGAAGCACCATACCAAGAGGACTTGGCTGAAAAGCTCGTAGCACTGAGCGACCTTAAAATAGGAGGACCTCAGCTGCTGGCCAGATTATTCCACTGGTAACAGCCCAGCACCTGTTGGGGTTTGTAACGATCCACTGGCCACATGCATGTTTCTATTAACCATGGTTTTTTTCCTGCTGCCTCACAAGGATGATATCACAATACTCAGCAATTTTTCCTCCAGCAGGGAGGGCATTTGGTGGTCAATACACTGTGATATAAAACAAAGGAAGATTTACTGATACTACCAGATTAATTATTTTGCTGACTTTCAGTGCTTTCTTCAGATGGTGTGTATTTCCCTATCAAAAGTATAAAAAATATCAATAGCATAAAGTGTAGAAGTGACAACAACATGGAATATAAATGGAATCCATATTTTAAAAGGAAATATTGTGCAACCTAAAAACTATTTGTGTAGTGCATCAGGTATCTCATGATGAGGACTGATAATCACTGTTAATGCTTAAAGTTTCTCATGTAAGACCAGGCACTCTTGCCACAAATTTTTAAATTTAAGCTATTAATTGAAGTAATATTTGCTATCCTATCAGCCAGCAACCACAGCATTGCAGTTCAGTGTTTAAATGCAATTGTTCAGTGCAAAGGAGTTTTGGCCAACATCCCAGGCAACCCCTAGAGACATGTCAGATGCCTTCCAGGTTAAAAGGGACATGACAGTAGAATCTGTGTGTTACATAAGGTTTGACACAGCAATTGCAAAAGGATTAAAGGAATATCTCTACCATGTGATAGAGACCTTTCAGTGCCAGTGTAAACCTGATCTAAATCATCCACATAGCCTAGAGTCAGGCAGAGCTAAGGTCCTGAAACAATCTGGTAGTGGTAAACTGTGTTCCAGAATCTGGGCATTTGTGAGAAAGTAGAAGTATCTCTGTACTATGCTGCACTGTGCTGAAGAGATACACTCCTAAATCTGACAAGCCCTCAGAATTAAATTGTCTTACTGCTGTTCTTAATATTCAGTGTGGATGAAATTCAACTGCTAACAAAAGTCAAAGTCACATTCATCTTTAGAATGATCTATTTGAGGCCTATGTCCCCAAGATTATTTGCCCTTAATTTGCAAAGCAAAATGCTCTTTATTAGCAAAAGAATCTCTGAATCCCACACTACAAGTTCAGAAATAAGTTTTGCAGCTATTCCTACAATTGAAAAGATTAAACTTCAGTTAAATAAACCTGAAGATGACAGTGATAAGTAAATTGCTCATGTGAAGAAGTGAATTTAGAAAGCCCTTCTGTTAAATGAGAGTACATGTAAGTACATCCATTTATCATAATTACTAAGTTCTACTAGGGGAAAAGATGTTCTCTGAAGTTGAGAGAAGCTAAACTTAAAAGTTTAAATTTTTTTGTGCAGAAGTATTTGAAATACAGGTGTATCAAAAATGCTAGAAGTTAATGCTAACAGGGGTGAGAAAAATTTGCCTTCAAACTGAAAGCAAAATTATTAAGCGTACTTATCCTTAAGTTATGGTAAACTGTTTTATACTGTGGAGGGGATTAAGTCATATTCTGTTCTTGTATGCATCTGCCATTAATAAAAAAAATACATTTTCTGCAAGCCAACCATCACTCATCATACATCACACATCAATAAAATTTCTGCTTCATCTTCAGATGAAATATAAAGCTTGGTCTAGTAAAAGGGAGGATCATGGCAAGATGGGGAAAGTCCTATGCCTAAAACAATGGATGGCAATTTCTTCCCTATGAAGAGACTAAAAAAACAACAATAAAAGCTATGAATTAAATTATTGATTACTGGGTTACTTGAAAAGCAGAGAAAGTCCAAGATGACTTAGGTGCAAACCACATTGTGGGTGTAGGTAATAAAGTCCATTTCATCTCTGAGTGCCAACTGACATGTGCTCATGTGACACTGACCTTTATCATAATTATGGACATTGATATAATACAAGGAAGAGTGAGATATGGCTCCTATAGTTAATGCATATTGGATCTTCCTTCCTTCACACTCTAGTAGTGTTAAGACATATCACTATGAACTCCAGCTAACATAAATATTTAAATAAAAAGGCACTTTCTTTTTCATTCCTGATGTACAAAGGACAATTGTCTCTATATAGGATGATGTATCACAGATGTGTTCTCTTTTGTTAGAGATCCTAAAAATTAAATTCTGGGTTAAAACTCAGTCTGTCTTAACAAATTAACATGCTAAGTTCTGACAAATGGACAAATACTATTAATTACAAAAAGCTGAGCTTACTAAATACAATCAAAACATTTATTTGTAAAAATATTTAAAGAAAATTACAGGCTAAAAAAGCAAGGCCAAACTTATTTACACATTTCCAGAGAGACTACTCATTAAAATACTAGTTTGCTGCTTAAATGTTACCCTGATGAGTGCTTAGGAGAAACCCCACATCTAAAATCCCCTGTGCTTCTTAATTCTTTACACATAAAAAGTTATTTTATAATGTATAAGTTCAAGTACTTTGAGAAAAGAGATTATGTTCAGCTTGGTTCTACATTAGCATGGGTATAGATTTAAAGCAATTAGCAAGAAGGCACTGAGGCTTCCTGGGTAACACAAAGGTTTATTGTTTCAGAGATTAAGATTCTGTTCTTTTCTCTTTCTTTGACTTCTTTTGAAATGCTGAAACTCAGTTATTAACCTTTCAAACTTTCCACAAAGCTTCATTTCTTGAACAATTACTTGCTCATTATGTGTAAAGCATTCTGTTAAACACAACTTTTCTCTTCAGGACTCCTCCACCTTTAAGTTCAAATTCCGATTCTGTTATTTTAAAGTGTTGGGGGGTTTTTTTGGGTTTTTGGTTTTTTTTTTTTGTTTTGTTTTTTTTTTTGGAAATAACTTTAGTGGCACACAACTGGTAGATTTTTTCATGTGATTGTCTTCAGCCTTCAGGATACATAAGAGTCCTTTTGAAACCAACATTTTACCAAGGTATAATATTAACCTGTCTGGTTAAAAACTCATGGTTTTGAGCTGTAAGATCAAGGACTAGTCCTTGTCCTAGAATTTGTGTGACTTATTGTTGCAGAGAGATTACTTTGCTCTACACTGATTTCTATTCCATGCTCATTAGTTTAAATCCTATTATAAAGAGAATAAGATAAATCCTACTGTAAAGCTGAGTTTCATCTTGCCTTAAGACATCAATATGACTATTCAACACTCAGAAGTTTGTGAAATTTTCAGAAAAGCTCAAGAAAAAATAATTTTCTAGGACAAGAACTGTAGGATTTTAAAGAATTTAAAACCTGTGGGAACAGTTCAAGTTCCAACTTTTTTTATCAGTTAGGGAATGAGAAGCGGGGAAATGGACCTGGTACATGTTCATTCTTAATTTTCTGTACCTTCTTTCCTTACTAATACATCCCTAGAATAATTTTGTACCATTTTCTAGGTGAGACCTATAGGTGCTGAAAAAGTTTGGACTTGTTACTCAAAATCAAAAATGTTTCTTAAGAATACTGTTTTTTCCTTGCAGGAAATCCTGTAATTCAAAAGTAAATAAGCCCTAAGTATAATTACAGGACAGTATTTTCAGATTTAAATTTATTTTAAAAATCATATTTAATTGAAAGCAAAAAATATTCTGATTTAGAAAAATATGCATATTGTTTTTATTAACTGATCTATACTGTGTAAAAAATAATAAACTGTATCCGAAACTACAACTTTAGGATTTAAGATCTCTTTTTTTCAAAGCAAGTATGCTTTATACAATAGAATACAGATGTTTCCATGTTTTTGTATAATTTAGTTTACCAATTTAGATCTCAGTTTATTATTCAGATGTTTGATGTTGTAACTGTGCTATATTTAATTATTGATCATTAGAAGAAAGGAAATAATGTAGTGTGTTTTAATGACTACATTGTTAACAACTTGATTTAACAATTAGTTTTCAAGAAACATGGCTCTGTATATGACTACACTGAGACCTCTAAAGTAATTAGAAATACATTCTGTTATGCACAGTATAGACCATGGATTACAAAATTGAAAGGAAAATGGGTTAATACAAGATAGAAAAAGAAAAATTTCTCAAAACTTTTGCAGTGAAGCAGAAAGGGGGTTTTGTTTCATGCTATCTCCAAAATTTTGTTGATTATACTTTTTATTCTATTTTTGCTAGGAATCTGTCAAACTATCAAAGTAATCTATTTTCTAATAATGCAGTCTACAATAAAAGCTCCAAGATTTCAGTTGACAGAACACAGAGGGACTATAGCTTATGATTGATTAATCTTGGTGGTCATGGGAAATACTTTTCAGAGGAGGGAAGAACTGATACCCTTCAAGACTCTTTTTCCACATTCAGTAATTAATCTTCCAAAGATATCCTGCTCTCATCTTCCAACACTCTTCCTGAGGTTCTTTTCTGCAAGAGGATTGGGGAACATATTCAGGATCCCTGCTCAAATTCCCCAGTGGGCCCAGCCTTGGATTCTCCATAATAAATAAGCCAACCTTTCTAAAAAGGTTTTCAGGAGATCATTACGTAAGTTATCATCTATCTCACATTACTCTAACCTCGTGATACAAATGTCAGCATACTAATGAATAGGTCATGTCCAACCTTCATCATATGGCCGGGCAAGAAGGGACTTACACAATCATTCACTGTAAATGTTTCTGCTACAGCTGAAGCAACCAGAAGACTAACGTGTCTATTTATAGTATTTCTAATTATGTGTGTATTAAATAGTAGTGGCACTTAATATGTGTTTTAGAATAACTTCCTTTTCCACTGACAGTTTTTTTTCCAAGCTGACTCCAATTATCTCAAGAAGCCAGGCTTGACATACTGGCATACCACTCACACATGTGCTTAGGACAGTCTCGGAATAGTAATGTCACTCTGCCTAGAGACTGACAGCTTTGGAAAAGATGTTCAGAAAGTACTTCAGGTAACCTAGAGAAGTCACGAACTCATGCAATGTAAATCCAGCATGACTGTCTTTCTGTTCCTCTT